TTCCCGGACCAGAGCTCGAACCCGTGTCCCCTGCATTGGCAGGTGGATTCTTAACCACTGTGCCACCAGGGAAGTCCCTCCTTCCCTTTAATATTCTACTCAAGTTTTGTTGGGGGCTAACTTTACAGTTTAGTCACTAGAGGATAGAATATTCAGATGGCACTGTGACCAAATTTGAGGAATAACTTAAAATAATTTTATTAATTTATTTTAATCATTACTTTATTTTTAATTAAAACTCTTTGGGGAACTTTGAATTCATTATTTTTCCCATTCTTGGTCCAATTACATCTAGAAATGGCCCCTAGATTATAAGACCAGGAGACAGGGCCAGGCACCAGGGAGAGGAGGAGGAGGCGGCTGCCAGTGCTGGAGTCCTGGGGAAGGGGCCACTCCTTCTTCAGGCAGGGATTAGGACAGGTACAGGTGCAGGATTGCCTCTGACGCTTCAGCTGCTTGGCTGCCTTCCTCACACCCTCCCTGAGGGCAGGGGATGGGTCACTGGGATCTCCCTGAAGCAGGATGTGCACCCCATCCCGGTAACCCTGCAGAGCTGCAGGGTAGGTGCTTGCCTTCTCCTCCCGCAGCCCTGGGTGATGAGCTCTGTAGCTTGGCTCAGAAAGGTGGTGGTGGGCCCTCCTTCCTTTTCCTCTCCCTGCTTTCCTGTTTCCCAAGGTCCCTGGTCCAGCCTTTAGGACTCTGCATCAATGCCAACTCACTTATGCAGGTAGGACTGAGGCCTGAGCCTTCTTGCACGGAAAAGGGGTCCAAGAGGGCAAGTTCAGCCTTGGTGTGCGGGGCTCGGCAGGGGCACGGGACGCCTCCTTGGTGCTCCCACAGTTAAAGATGGCAGGTCTGGATGGTGAGGGCGTAGCGTGGGGGATGGTCCGTTGGCACCTCCAACACGTCGAGGCCCCTCCTCTCCACGCCCCTCCTTTCTGCGGGGGAGCCGCTGGTGCAACCAGGACGCATCAGGGCCCCAGGGCCGGGGCTCATCGAGGGGGCGGTATGGGGATCAGAGAGGCTGGCAGGATGTGCAGGTCCCTGGACACTTCGGAGGACCGTGTCACCTCCCCACCCCCGAAGAACTCCTTGAGTTGGGGGCTGTCGAGCGCGGAGATGTGCACCGTGAAGCGAACCAAATCCTCAGCCCCCTTTCGAGGCTTCTTGATCACCGAAGCTTTGAACCGCCAAACACCTGTGCGCGGGGAGGGGCGGGACCCGGGGGAAGCAGGGAACTCGTGGAGGAAGCGGAAGAGGTGGGGTGGAGGTTGTAAGCAGGGTCTCCAAGCAGCTTGTGGAAGTTGCTGAATCGCAGAGATGGATACAACCAATGTTGGGACTTTGCATCTCATCATTTTCAGGTAAGGATGAGACTGTCTTCTTTTGTATGAAGTAGAGTGGTGTCTCGTTAGAAACAGTTGTGTTTCTTGTTGCGTGAGAGTTCAAATGTGTATAGAAAGGGTGTGTATGGGGCTTCCCTGGTGGCGCAGTGGTTGAGAGTCCGCCTGCCGATGCAGGGGACGCGGGTTCGTGCCCCGGTCCGCGAAGATCCCACATGCCGCAGAGCGGCTGGGCCCGTGAGCCGTGGCCGCTGAGCCTGTGCGTCCGGAGCCTGTGCTCCGCAACGGAAGAGGCCACAACAGTGAAAAGACCGCGAACCGACAAAAAAAAAAAAAAAAAGACAAGAAAGGGTGTGTATGGATGCTGCGTAGCCCACGGGGTGTCTAGTAGCCAGTATTAAGGGATTCCCTCTTAGCTTGAAGCCCTCCCTTGTGATGCTAAGGTTGCAACACTTCAAACCGTATTGATGCTTTGCCAGCTGTTCGCTGTTAGATTCCGCTAACAAGGGGCCCTGGAGAGAGACTGCACTGAACGGGAAGAAGGGATTGCTCCTTTCTGTTTACTCCCTCAGAGCTGCTAAACTTCCTGTTACAGTGAGTGTCGCCTTATCCTCACTTCTTCGGCTTGGCACTGGCAGTTTCTTTCTGGAGCAGCAGCTGGATCCAGTTTGCAGTTTACCCAGCATTTGCAGAACCAGGCTCATTACGCCCCCTCTGAGACATTAGCGCCACCTGACGTGCCCCTTCTGCAGAGGGCAGAGTTTCAGCTCCACCCAGCCCCTCCCCAGCTTTTAAGCTTGGGTAGTTTCAGCCACCTGGCTCTTGTTCCCTTCAAACCCGAGTTGGCTACTTCCCTGCTATCTTTGTGTTCTGATTCCCTTTACTGTCACTGTTACCAAACCAAACTTGGGTCTGCTTGCCCACGTGCAGTAAAGCCAATCTACTGACACACCACACTGGATCGTGGTGAAGGAAAGTGCAGCGTTTATTGCAGGCCAAGCAAGGAGTCCAGGCAGCTAGTGCTTAAAAGGCCCAAACTCCTTGAAGGCTTTCAGGGAAAGGTTTTTAAAGACAGGGTGAGGGAGGGGGCTCATGGGGTGTGTGATCAGCTCCTGGACATTCTTCTGACTGGCTGGTGGTGAGGTTAATTGGGAGTCACTATCATCAACCTTCTGTTCCAACAAGTCTGGGGTCTACGTGCTTGTGGGCAGCACACAGTTAACTTCTCCCACCTGGTGGGGGTTTCAGTATCTGCAAAACAACTCAAAGGACGTGACTCAGGATATTATCTATAGCCCTTGAGGAGGAACTAAACGTCCTTGACTTTGTTTAATAGCTGAACTATTATTGTCTTGCTTGACTGTTTTCCCTTATTTCTGCATTTTCTCACTTCTCTGATTAAAGTTACTCTTTGGAACTCAGGGAAGGCCTAGGAGGCTAAGGTTTTTCTACAGACAGGAGGCAGGCAGAGGACATGGGGGTTCTTTTATGGGAAGGCTCCATAGGGCCCTGTTCAGTTACAACACCAAGTTAACAGTTTTCTTTGTAATTGGAGTATAGTTGATTTACAATGTTGTGTTAATTTCTGCTGTACAGCAAAGAGATTGTTATACATATATATAATTCTTTTATGTTCTTTTCCATTATGGCTTATCATAGGATACTGAATATAGTTCTCTGTGCTATACAGTAGGGCCTTGTCCACCCATTCTGTATATAATAGCTTTTATCTACTAACCCTACCCTCCCACTCCATCCCTCCCGCAACCCCCTCCCCCATGGCAACCACAAGTCTGTTCTCTATGCCTGAGTCTGTTTCTGTTTCATAGATAGGTTCATTTGTGTCATAATTTAGATTCCACATATAAGTGATAGCATATGGTATTTGTCTTTCTCTTTATGACTTACTTCACTTAGTATGATAATCTCTAGTTGCATCCATGTTGCTACAAATGGCATTATTTCATTCTTTTTTTTTAAGGCTGAGTAGTATTCCATTGTATGTATGTACCACGTCTTCTCTATCCATTCATCTGTCGATGGACATTTAGGTTGTTTCCATGTCTTGGCTATTGTGAATAGTGCTGCTGTGAACATTGGAGTGCATGTATCTTTTTGGATTATAGTTTTGTCTGGATATATGCCCAGGAGTGGGATTGCTGGATCATATATTACCTTTTTAATGCTATTTTCTATGCCATTTTTTTACAATACCATTCTAAATAGTGTCATAATTTAAGTGCTCTGCTATTGAATAGTCCCTAATATTTTGCTGTTAAGGCTTCAAAGAATATTCTTGTATATAAATCCTTGACTAGATCTCTGCTTATTGCTGTGGTATAAATTCCTGGATAGAAGATTACTAATTCAGTGAAATTTGAACTATTTAAAGGCTCTTCACATGGTTGTAGAATTTCTCTCCAGAGGTAGCTGACCCACTCTTGAATCTCTAATGGGTTTTAACTATAGAGCATTGACATAGAACTTTTATAAAACCAGACTGTCAGACATGCAAACAAACATTTTAAGAAATAATGAATATGGTTCCTATTAAGAGGAGAGTATACAATTTGCCTCACATGGAGATGTGCTTTAGAAACTTTGTAACATTTAATTCTCACAATGACACTTTTCCCCTGGTACTTTTATCCTCATCAATAAAATGGGGGGAAATGACCAAATATTTTGCTTACGGTCACATAACTCATAAAATGAGGACCCAGGAATCAAGCATTGGTTTTCTGATTTCACAGTTAATTTTTCTTTCCCCTATATCATTGCAACCCAAGAACTTAAATCAGTTTTTCGGAAGTGAATACTTGGGAGGAAAGAAGTATGGGTGAGCTGGAATTAGTAGAGAGGAGGTGAGAAGCAGTTAAAAAGCATATTGTCTCTGTTAAAAGAATTTACAAACTGACAAAATACAGCGTTGGCAGGGCATTTTAACCAATGAGTATTTATTAAAAGCTAGGGGTGCACCAGGCACCATTCTTGTCCAGTAGGCGAACAAATACAAATGATGTAACCAATTCACTTATTAGCTTATCTGATTAAACAAAATACATTTCATAGAAATGATTATAAAATGCATCATAGACAAACAGAATATCTTTTATATTACAGACATTAGGGTACCTAAATAATTATGAATAAAAACCAGCCAACCCATATGGTAAATAGAAGTTAGCAAAACCACTAGTTAAATATTTTAGTCAGCAAGAGAAAAGCAGGCTGTCATCATGCTGAGATGGGTTTCAGCATTAATTACAGACATCCTGTTTCACAACACACACAGTCCACCTACAATCTTAAAAATGCAGTGTTTTTCATCCTGCATCAAATCACTATCATACTTTTTGGTTTAAAGATTAGTTTTGGTTTCAAAGTAAGTTAATTTAGTACTTTAGTCTCATGTCTCACAAATTCTTGACCTGGGGTGGGTGAGAATCAGTCCTATTAGTTATTAGAGGAACAAAACATAAAATGAGATCGTTTAATCCACTTTGTCCAATACTCTTGCCAATACTCAACTGAGAAGTTAAGATATACAGGTGACTTAAACCAGAACATAACAGCAGAAGGGAAAAAAAACAAAAACTAAACTGTTATTTGTTTGAAGCATCCATGAGGGCTTTTTTGTTTCTTTTTTGTCTTTTGGGAGAGTCATGGCAAATTCTTTAAAGGATCCTATCGAGTTTGTTGGCACACGATATATCCCTTAGTTTGAAGGTTGGTTAAGAGGGGTGTACAGGAGAGAAAAGGCAGGTGGGTAGGACTGAAAAGGCATGGAGTGGAGAAGTATGTCAGTACCGCTGACACAGTCACTATAACCCACTGAACCACAATCGTCCAAGTCCGCTAGGCCCTTCCTGAGACCTCCAGAGATGGGTCTGTTTTCTTCAGGCAGCAGCCCTGAAAACTTCCTCAGAGAGTCAAGGCCAAATTTTATTGCACAGGAACCAAAATTATTCCCCTTCCCCCCTTTCCTGAGCTGGAGACCTCCAAGGGCAAGCACGGCTGGGGCTGCCCATCTGCTCGCTCCTCTGGCCAGCAGGGAGCGCTCCACCAGAATGCCTGGGGAGCACCTACTTCAAGGGAAGTGCGAGGTTTTGCATTGGTCCAAGCTTCTGGCTGGTCAGTCACCATTCTCAAGTAGCTTTTGTAAGTTGTTTTGTATCTTGAAATAAGAGAAAAGCTCCCGTTATTACACAGAATGGAGTATATTAAGGGCATATTTGCTATGATCTATATAATGCTTGAGCTTAACCTCTTCTATCTTGAATAAAAAGCTACACATGGGTTCAATTTAGATCAGGCAAATAAATGCATGATTGTGGCATAGAATTCTGTTTGACAAACCACTTTAAAATGAAAAAAGATAGGCTAAAAATTTTTGAAAGAGTGGCACAAAGATGAAAATGTCGGTAGAGACTAAGAGAAACAGAACAAAAGCCCTGGCAACACCAGGTGCGACCATTCAGAGACAATGCGAAACCGGGCTTGACAAAGCCCATGTGATGGTCTGAATCGGACAAACACCAAAAATAATGTTTAACACTCCTATTAGATATGACATTTCCCATGGACCCTGCCTATCTGTGGATCTTAAGACCACAGTATAGTGTTGGGCATTGAAAATGTGCTTGGTAAATGTTTGTTGGGTAAATGAACTTGAAAGAATTCAGAGCAAGGAATTTTCAACAGCCAGTACTGTGAGGGAGTAGGGAACCCTGTGGAACAAAAGAAAGAGAACATAGTCTTCTTTTGGAAGAACATTCTGTGATGTCCTAGAGGCATACACAGGATAAGTGGAGAGGAAGAGATCTGATCAGTATGTGCCAGGAACATCGTGTGTGCTCACCTTGACCACACACCACCACACACAGAGGCAGGTTTTATACACCAAGCTAAGGGCCAGAGATGCTATGTAACGAGACCAGTCACACAGTAAGTGGCAGAGTAGGGAAGAGAACAGACATCTGACTCCGAAGTTCATGCGCTTTCTTCTGCACTGCTCCACCATTAATGCCATTCCCAGTACTAAGAAAATAAGTATTTACTTCTTTACCTGTAAGAGGCATTGCCTTCATCCCCCAAATTTCTACTTCATATCTTCCCTAGCTTCCCACAGGACCAAAGATGAATGGAAAAGCAGGAGTGGGAAGGTAGAGAAAGAAATGAAATAAAAGACTGATATCCAAAATATTTAAAACACCTGCAAAGACAAAAACCCCAAAAGTAAAACAAAGGAGATAAATGGGCAGTTTACAGAAGGAATATTACAGAAGGACATCCATATGGCCAATATATATATATGAAAAGATGCTCAACTGCAGCAGTAATTAGGAAAATGCAAATACTCTTAGACTAGGAGGTAGTAGGGGGTCAGAATGGCCTATTGGTGCCCATCTTAGAGAAACTGAGGAGACATCTGAAGCTAATTAGTTGACAAAGTCCTGCGTAATCTATCAGTGGTAAGTGAAAAGGATGACTGAAAGGGCAGTGATGCCATGAACAGAAATGGGGAAGTTACAAGAGGGCAGATCAGGAGGCTGAGACATGACCAGTCCCTGCAGGAGAGCAGAAGGAAGTTGCTGGTACTGAGTAGAAAGAGCTGAGACCTGGCTCTGACTTTCCCGCAGCACACAGCTGCTGTCCCCCCACCATGCGCTGCTGCGTTACTACCAGCTTCCCTTTAGGGGGGTGGAGGCTTGGGGGTGCAGACCGAGCAACAGCACATGGTGGCCTGGTGGTGGCTATTTTTTTTTTTTTTTTTTTTTTTTTTTTTTTTTGCGGGGGCC